GTCGGTCGGTCGGTCGGTCGTCGCTTGCTTCGTAGTCGGTGCATCCATCGGTCGCTCGGTCCAGCAGCGTATCTTTCTGTTTATCCGAAAGACAGTCAACTCTGTTCAGCTCCTCGAGATACCGCGAAAGACACCGACGCACGGTACAAGGTCGAAAGTTTCCCCTCCGGTGTGTTCGCTGAAACCAACTATCGGTCCCGGCGACTTCGAGCGCGAACGTTTTTCTCCCGCGCCACACTCCGCAGGGAACGCTCTCAGGTCTTCTGTATTTGTCGACGCTCGACCCAAAAGTCCCTCTGGGCTCTGTCAGCATCCAGTACTCAGTGAGTCCGTAGCTCATCCGGAACTTGTGTCGATCAACTCAGGAACCGACACCGAGACAGACCGCGCGGTCGGAAGCCCGCGCCGCTCGCTCGGAATCGCCGTCTCCGTGTGTGAAAATCTCCCGTATCAGTAAAGCCTCTCGCTCTTTCATGCGGTTATTACCATGCTGTGGTGTATTGATATAGTCTCCGCGTGCGTACAGTTCTAAATAAAAGTATATCACGTCGTCTCATTTCGCCAATCGATCTCTTGGGCGTTTGGACAGGAATATATATGTTACTGGTCACATGGGCCCGAGCAGAGTCGGCACAAACAATCATGTTCTACCTGATGACAGCCCCCTTTTCTTCATAACACGTGATGAAAACCGTGTACTGCGTCTCTTGTCAGTCGACTACGGATTTTGCACTGAGCGTCTCTCCCGAAATTTTTCTTCATCGCCGGGGTATGAAGGTACTCTGGGTCGATGTCCGTCATCTTTTTCAGCCAGTGCTCGAGATGGGTTCTGAAAGCGTCGGTGATCGGTAGGTTGAATTTCTCACGAAGTTCTTCCGACAGCGAGCTCGTATCAGCCAGCCAGTAGACCAATCTCTTTCTGGTCGATCAGTGGGGATACGCTTTCGAAAATGGAATGGAAGCTAGTCCCAGCCTCGCATTCCGAACCCTCTCTGCGATGTGCCTTGAACAAGAGATTCCAGTACGGCAGAGAACAATGCCGAGGTATGAATAGTGGCGAACCTTTTCAATGGGACCACCAGCGATATGAAACAGATCTCCCTGGGCCTTAGGGCCTCCGTTTCAGAACTCGACGATCTTCGTCTTCTCCGTGTTGATCACCAGCCCGTTCTCGGACATGTAGTTCTCGAGAGTTCTCATGGCTCTCTTGAGGTGCACCCTAAAGGGGGAGAACAGTACCAGATCAGCAGCCAACATCAGGACGTCCACAAGATCTTTGAAGCCTCTCACGAGGATCAATGCTGCCGGAGCCGTCATCTCCTCCAGACCAAGGGATACGGGATCGCGAAAAATCGCGCGGATCGCCCAGCATGCTCCTCGTTCGATAGTACCCTAAAATCCCGACCATAAGGAACGCCACGTATAGGGAGCTTCCCGTATAAGGAACCCCACCTATAGGGAACTTCTCCGTATAAGGAACCCCGCCTATAGGGAACCTCCCGTATAAGGAACCCCACGTATAGGGGACTTTTCGTATAAGGAACCTGGGGGAATTCCCTTTTGGCAAAGTTTCTCATACAGAGAGTCCCTAAGGATGGGGTTCCTTATACGGGAAGTTCCCTATAGGCGAGGTTCCCTATACGGGAAGTTCCCTATAGGCGAGGTTCCCTATACGGGAAGTTCCCTATAGGCGAGGTTCCCTATACGGAAAGTTCCCTATGAGTAGGGTTCCTGATACGGGAAGTTCCCTATACGGTGCCCATTTCCGCATTTTTCCGGTTCCTTATGGTCGGGATTTTAGGGTAATTTCTTCTGGTCAGGAGAACGCTCATCGAGGGGAGAACGAATGTTCAACGACCGTCAACGACGGCACGTCTTCCGCGCTCGTAGAGACAAGTATGAAGATCTATCGTATTTTCCGGCGCACTCTCTCAAGGCCGCCTCGTTGGCTGATTGCACCGCGAAGAGCGGCGTAAGACTGTCGGATGAAAACACAATTTTTTTTCGATGGGACACGAACTTCTTCCCATCCAATGTTCTGGGGACATGAATTCAGTAGCCTCTTCTCTCTCAGAGCGGGAGTATGACCGAACCAACACCTCTAGTGATCATTGAGAACTTCCCGTGAGCGGATCGACCTCAAACGTTCACCCTAGGTCGCATCGCCTTCGGCCGGCCGAGACATGGGTGACGGGGACGTACGGAGGGGAGCAGGGGCGTAGGCAGGAGGCGCTTAAAGCGACTATAGCCCCCTCCCCAAGAAGAATCCTGCGGGCGCCACTGGAGGGAAGTGCAATATTGGGGGCTCTACGAGGCGGTGGAATTAAGGATCAAGGAAATTCCAGTCACCAAGTCCGTGGTAGCCAATCACTCAGCAAGTGAATCAGGATAGTGAGTTGACCGAATGGAGCCAATCCTTGCACGCTTAGCTGCTCGTCAAAACAAAACAAGCGTGCAGCCAACAGCTGAGTGCTCGCCTCTCCAAACTGACCAGGTGATCATTCTGAGTTCTGGGCCAGCGGCTCCGAACCAGCGGACGAACCTAGCTGCCGGGCGAGCGACCGAGCCCAGCAATTACATAATTAGGCGGCGGTCCCCATACAGCTTCAGCAGCCAGAGTGAACATGAACCCATACAGAATGACATCTGTTCACTGGCTAGACGAACTGACTGACTGTTGAGGCTCCACCCAATGAAGTTCGCTTGATGAAAAATCATTCGATACATTCGACACTTTTGAATGGTGTTGGCGCGTAGGGATAAAGTTCAAGACACCCGTGGTCGTGCTCATGCATCGGTGCGGAGACGTGAGGGACGAGTTTGACGCGCAGCATGACCCTTGACCAAAGCCACCGACGAAAGGTAGCGAAAGCTAATCAACGTAAACTTCGTATACCGCCTCTCGAAGCATCCGCTCGGGTCACGATGAATTCCCGACGGGATTCCCGCTGCTCGATGTCTCCGAATGCGCTTCGATTCTTCCCGAGCATCTCTGGAACGGAGGCGGGACTAACCCCGAGCATTCCGCGTGTCTCGGATCCGAGATCGAGGATCGTCCGCTTCAAGCTGCTTTCAGAACTCTATCCGTCACGATCTCGGGCTGCGCTGAGCACACGACGAAAATTCGGCATGATGTTTGCTCACTCGCGCGCTCCAAAGACGATAGCCATAAAAATGGACTGCGGCTATTTGGGAATGTGTGACGTCATGGGGGTTCGGGGGTGAATAAATGAGGGATTTAAATGTAACACCGAGAGAAAAACAACGACGTGCCTTTCGCCAGGCTCAGACGCCTACCGCCTGGGGGCGCTCACGGATTAGCTTATCGTTCTCGGTCAAGCGAGCAATCGACCGACTGACCGACGGACGGACCGACCTAACGGTCTGAAGGTCTGACTTGGCGGACAAACTCAGTGGCCGAAGAACCACCAGCTCAGAAAAGACTGTCCGGACTGACAGACGTCGTTGTGGTTGCCGTCGCGTTCTTTCTCTTGGCCGCGGGTCAATCGTGAGTCCTGTCTGGGTAGACAGATGATACGGATTTTCGAAGGTGATGTCCATGCTCGCGACGCTGGTGAGGAGCGAGCGAAAAAGAAAAGGTCTCGGCGGCGGCAGGAATAGCGAGTCAGGTGGAGTTTGCCGAAAATTCAGCGATCAGCCGGCTGATCAGTAGACAGGAATGTTCGATTGTAGACGATCCGAACGATCATTACTGCTGACGGTGTTCTATTCCTATCCCCAGAAAACCCTCATGATGGCAAATGCAGGTAAATCTGCGGCTTGTGCATTTGCTCTAATTCTAGTGCGGGAATGCGCCTAATGCACTCGATTAATCCACTTAGACCCAGGCTGTCTTATCACGCATGACTGTCGTTGTTTCAGTGTGCTCGGGGGAACTATGGGTCAGAGTGTCACTGATGTTGCCGCCGTATTCGATGAGCAAACAAGGCTGCGCCCGTAAGATCGCTGATCGAATCAATTACTTCAGGTCGACCACGAAAATTTAAGCTCGTTGAGGTTTGGAGCCTCGGTTATTTATTGCAGAGGTCTTCCCTCATCCACGATTTCGGTCTTCAGTGGCTCGCCAACGTGAATGGTTTAGCAAGCCCTCCGCCCGTGTCTCGATTAGCGATGTTCCTTGAAAATATTCGTTGGTTTTCCTCCTTTTCAAGAAGACATTAGCTGGCATTTGGGTTAGTTCGCTCCGATGATAGCTTTCGCCGCGAGCGGGCGGAGAAGGCGCACAAAACGCTATGCGAAAAGCACAGCGGCAGAGGAAAAGTCAGAAAAATTCCCGTCCGAAAACTTATTGGAGAACAACATAATTTCGGGCGATTGTTACGTGGGCAGCACGAATGGGTCCGACGGAGCTTTAAATCATCCGATTAAGCGTGCTCAGTAGAATCATTCGATATAGTGTCAACAGGCGTGTGGGCGTGACGACGTATTAATGTGAGTCGCCGTTCTTTTCTCCGGCTAAGTCCATTCACAGCTCATCACACGATCAGACAAATCAGGAAACGAGCCTCGATAGGACGATCGGGGAATGAGGGGGGGTGAAGTACCCGTCCTTCTGACTGTTCGGCTCCGCAATGTGAATATCGATCTGAACGAAATCACGGGTCGTAGCGATGATATCCGTCCTCTTTCTGAAAGTGTTTTCCGTAAAGCCCACGGAAGCAGTACCACTCGGAGGAATTCGAATTTTCCGAAGCCTGGTGGTGCAGTACGGGATGAGGATTCATCAGAGGTGGGGCTCAGCCCCATCAATGGGGAACGACGCCGATTTCCGACTTCCTCCGATGTCCTTAGGGGGAACACATGGAAAGTAAACGCCGAAAAAATTGAACGTACAGCCAGGGATCGGAGGAGTGCCAGGAACCATCTTCTTCTTCAAGTGTCAAGGCTTCCGGAGAGAGTGTCGCGAGAAGATTTTTCCCCGCGCTCGGTAAGGGCCAACCCTCAGGGTTGACATGCACCGCAGATGTCGTTCCAAAACCGAACGACCAAAGAGAACCTGGGACCGTACGGATATACGTACACTCGTACATGTCCCTCGTGCCAACTCTTCCAGGGTATCGGGCACCGTCACACAATGTCTTAGTGCCAGTGGTCACGCACTATGATGGATCCTTGATTCAGAAATTGAGGTGAGTTTCGCGGAGTCCGTCTCCGCCTAGAGTGAGAGACCGTCCATTGACATTTGAGAGTATGGCGCAAAAGAACGGGACCTCGTTCCATATTCCGGGAATTTATATCTGCGGTAACAGAGCCCGTTCTGCCTTCGAGCTAAGATTCGAGTCAAGTTGACGGTATCTTTCTGTTCCCCAGCCATGTTCGTCGTTGATCTCGGCTTGATCTTGTCGCTGTTTTTCATCGCTCTCTATGTCTACTTTTTCTTCATATATGAGTAGGAGTGGAAACCAGCGTTCGGAAGATCGTGATGTCAAATATTATGAAGTTACCAGAATGTGTGAAATTCAACCCGACTGTTTGGAACTCGACGCCGTTCACCGAAAATTTTCTCTACGAGATTCCTGGCAGGAGGAATTATGTACTCGAAGACGACGACTGCAAAATTGCGCTGATCAATCTCTTCACCTGTCTCGATATGTGGTAAGTCATCCCGGCGCTGGATCGAGACCCAAATCTATATTCCTCCGCCGTGGGAAAAATAAATTCCCGTCTATTAATTCGTTTCTGCTAAGCTTCACAATCAAGGCGACCACTGATCACGGAATCTGTTCGAGACGCCGCGTCTCGGAGAAGTCGATGAACTTCGCAACTCGAGTAACTCCGAATCCGATATTGCAGTACAATAGGATCACGGCTCCACATGTCCCTCAGGCCGCTTATCTCACCACTGGTTGCCTTACTTGCTACGAACATACGAGATTCGGAACGAGTGCCTCTAGTGGAATCTTCAAAAGAAGAGGAATTCGCGCACGACCCCATCGCGTATCGAAAATTTGAGAGACCAATTTCGAAGTGGAACGAAGTCTCAGAAGAAATCCGTAATGCGATTCGAAGCGTGGAAAATTTTGAAGTGATCGCCCCCTCGATCGCGTGGGCCATCGTGCGCTTCTTCGGAGCTGGAATCGCAATCACAGACACAGTCGAGCTCGAGCTCGAACGCTGGACGCGGAGTGGACTTTCCATACCGTTTCCCCGAGGCTGTGTTGCCTTTCTCCACAAGACACTCCCCCAGTTGAAAGATTTCTCCCTCATGCCTGAAGATATAACTTCTTTGGTGAAAGCCGTTGCTGTCTTCTACAAGAGTCACGCTACGGAGCCTGAAAACTCCGAAAACGTCTCAATCAAGAAGCAGCTATCGATTTTCACGAGATGTCTCATCGCGGAAGGTCTCGGGCCGTGGATTCCCTTTGACGAAATCGCTTCTGGAAATCCACTCCGACAATCAGCGCTGATGGCGGCCTTACAGAGTTTCAGCGAAAATCCGGAACTGGTTCAGAGTGTCGCGAATTTGTCCCGCTTCCATGAAAATATGGCCAAGCGATTCGATGGCTTCCAAATACAGAGTCATCATGTTTACTCGGTGTACAGGAGTCAGATGTTAGCTTACATGAATAATAGACACGGTGGGAACTCCAAGCTGACCGCTGAAATCTACAAGGTAAAGAATGCTCTATTCCGGGCGCGCAGTTTCGAGACGTTGGACGGGGAGCTCCGTGATAGTGATAAGGATCCTGCTTTGGGTAGAGCCGATGCTCTTCTTGTGGCTAAAAATTATCTTGAGTCTCTGCCTCTAGACGACAGACTCAGCTACTTCGAGGCTGCAGAGAACGCGTCCCACCTGGGGCAAGAGGCCAGTAGGAAAAGCCGAAAGAAAAACGCCGGAAGAAGAAGAATTAGTATTTTCGCGATCGCTTCCGATTCCCAATTTAGAGCCTCCCTGGATAACCTCCATGCCTTATTGTAGGTACGCGTCTCGATTTCCGAGATTCGCCCCGACCTCGACAAGAGGTCGAGGGCAGGGTAGTTGTTCATTGACTCGGCTTTCCGAGGCGACTAACAATTTGTCGCATCCCGATTGAAAAGCTTCTAGAGAGGCCAGAATGTTCTACGGGGATAACACGAACGATCTCGACCGACTGTGATAAGGACGATACCGAGACTCTCTCTTTACTGTGTGGACTTTCGGACGAATCGAGAGATGAAATAGATCTCTCCCGCTTCCTTATGTATATCGTAGCTGCAGAAAGATTCAGGAACGCGCTATGTATTCTGTACGTTGGATCCGAAATTATATTTGTAATAAAGTTGGAGATTTTTGTCCCTCTATGCCATTCGTCGTCGCGAATCAGAAACGGGAGTACCTCCGGAGAACGTCGTTCAATAATTATTTATCCAAGTTCGGTTGATACAGCGCAAGATCGCTCGACAGATTGCATTAGTCCGAGCCCGAATTATGGGGATCGATTTCCCACACGCAAACGATCAATGTTTCGTCAATTATCACTTTCATTTGAATAAACCTTCGATATCTAACAGAGAACGCGGACACTTCGCACTCAGAATTCGCGGACCATCTCTCGTCAGATGCACGTCGTCCTCTATCCGCAGACCGAGACCTCGGTAACGCATCGGTACTTTGGCGTTCTTGCGAGGTATGTAGATGCCCGGCTCTACGGTGACCACCATTCCTTTCTGAAGTTTCATCCGACGCGGCATAAGGGGCGTGTCGTGGACGTCCATGCCGAGATAGTGGGATACGTGGTGAGGGCAGAACTGGTAACCTGCCTGGCGGAGCTCGGCTTCGGACGTCAATTTTGGATCGACTATTCCTAGTTCCTGCAAGCCCCGCGCGATGAGCAGACACATCTGCTCAAAGAGGTCGTCCAGTGTGTAGTATTCAAACTGGTAGAGCGACAACATCAGCTTGCCGTGGACCTGAAGAGAGAGGACGTATGAGATGCTCGTCTTCGTGAGTTTGGATCCGATTCTGAGAATCGATGGCTCGTGAAACTTCTGGAGTTCTTTCAGAGACCGCTGCCCACCTCTTCGAGTAGTTGGTAAACGTCGCGCTGAGCTTGCGTGAACTTCCCGTTCACCGGCCAAGTGCGAGTCACGTCGCTCGCATAGAGGTGTAATTCTGCGCCGGCATCCATGAGCACCATGTCGTTCGCCATCACGCATTGATTGCTCGCTATGTAGTGGATGATGTTCGCGCGGTCTCCACCCGCGACAACCGGGGGATAAGCGAGGCGTTCGGCTCCGCGTATCCGACACTCGAATTCGAATTTCGCGGCCATCTGACTTTCGAGAACAAAGGGATGCGACGACCGTATTGTCTCGACGAGGCTCTCACAAGTTATATCGGCAGCTCTCTGCATGACGTCTATCTGCAGGCGGATTGAAATGAATAATGAATATGCCCTGGGCTGCATGACTGAAGCATAATATCGCAGAACTCAGCGCAGCGAGAATGACTCTGGGGACGTAAGGACTGGGAAAAAAATCGGAAATCACCTCTGCCGAACTCTTTATCAAACGGAGCTTCTGGATTGCAAGATCGAAAGGTTCCGAATCTTTGAGAAGGTGATCAACCAGCGGGAAGTTTGTCCGCTGGGACCATTGCTTGGCTGTCGGATACGAAGAGATGAATTTTTCGACCTCGTCTACCCCGTAGGCTTCGTCGACCTTTGGGAAAGTATTTGAAATTTTAGAGGGGGGAATCCCGGTGGCAGACATGGATACCGAGGAACACTGCGGAGAAAGACCATGAGATTGCCAGAATTCCGGCCTAACCTTGAGCAGGTTCACAGCTCTGGAGGGGCCCGTCCTAGGTCCGTCCCAGAGCTCATTGGCTGGGTCATGCTTCGGCACGAATAGTACGCTTCTAGGAGTCTCTTTTTTATGCCCATGGATGACCAATACACTATTCGGCTCAGAAAATCCACAAAGGTAGTAGAAATTACTATTTTGGCGAAAGCTGAAGGGTATTTTCTCGGTCATGAAAACTTTAGTAGCCGAGGGAATCACAGCTATGTGTCGTTCTGCGGACGGCTCAAGCTTGCACAGCAGAGCGAAAAAGGCATTTCTGCAACAGGAGGTAAGATACATTTAAGATGGGAGAAAAAAGGCCATATTAAAAAATATGTACATGAAACAATTCACAGAACGGTGAGTCAGAAGCAGTCGATACCTCCGTTTTGAAAGTTCCTCGGCTGTGAATCCCGGTATGCATTGCTTATCCCTGACAAGATGTGGATGGGTTTCCGCCGTCGGCTGGCCGAGAGCGACGACGGAACATCCCGTTTTCGGTAGAGGCGTGAGACGGTCGAAAGGATTATCGCACACAGAGGAGCTCGAGGAGAGCCTTCGTCCGAAAACTGGGGAAAGGTAAGTCGTTGGCGGGCTTCACTTTCCAAGCGTGAAAAAAATTCTATTCCTTGGAGAGTCCCGTGATTCACACGGACATCCTTCGTGTGAAGAATTAAGATTACCGGCAAGTTGGCCGCAGAGGTCGGATCGAAATCGAATTGCAGCCCGCGAGGCGAGATGCGTCCTCAAACTACACCGGATCGAACTCGGTTCCAAAAAGGATTAGAACGACCTGTCCAGGATCCCTATCACATTATCTAGAATTTCATGGTAACATCGTCGAACCGCCAAGAAGGACCGATCCGCGCAGAGAAGCGATGCAGCCCGCCGTGAGCAGTCCATCTCCGTGGCTTAGGTGCTCAGATCATGGATTAGTCTGAGCGTATAGCTTCCCGGGATCGAGTAGATCCTACCCCCGTATACGGTTCGGCCTGTCTCTCCGTGAAATGAATGAATATTCAATTGGAGACTCACGCCGAACGGAAGCTCTCCTGAACATGGCTGGATGTTTGGACACAATGATGACCGATGATCTTGCTTAAAACGCGCTGCGGTCTGATGCGGCAGCAGCGTCGAAAAAAGACAATGGCTGTCTCCCCTGTCATCCGACAAAGACTCTTGACGGAATGTTCGAGTTGGATTCTCAGGGTCACAAGCGAAATATTCGAGCGTCTTTCAAGTTTCTGCAGAATATTCATCATTTGCTGTTCCAAAGACCATTTCCGCTGGCTCAGATATTCGGGCGGGGAAACCTGCACCGGGAGATTTCCTCATGGAATTGCTTCGGGTGCTGGGCTCCATAGGAAGCGTTTGTGTTTTCCACATCAGCATTGTATGGGCAACTCTCTATTAAAACTAACTTTCTATTATTATTAAATCTCTCTTATTATTACGTATTATCCGAATCCTTGCACCGTGAGGCTCATTCGACTTATCTCTCAGCGAGTAACTCTTCAAAAATCCTTCTTCCCCTCTCAAGACAGAGCACATCTCCCTGTCCAGCCGAGAAGCCAGGAGATCGAGGCGCGAATTGCAATAGTTGAACATAGTTTTATTCTCCATCCACTGTGGATTCTCCCCAGTGTAGAGGCAGATGGTACTTCTGGTTGGTTCGGACACAAAAAAGTCGGGTGATATTCCTAAGAAAATATAAAACCGCCGTTCTCTTTCATTCTCTACTGTTAAGTTTTAGATTCCAATAGACGTGTTTTCCTCGAGCCGCGCACGAGCGACGCGGAAACGAACTAATTTATGAGCAGCCGGACCGGAACCCTCTAAACGAGAGGATAAGAAGCTTGAGTCGCCACGCCGCATTCGTTCTTGCTGTTCCTGGCCATCAGGACGTAGCCCTCCTGGCCCCAGCGCTCGCCCCACGAGTTTTTGATGATGTAGTAGTCTTGACCGTCATCGGTGGTTCCGTAACCCACGGCCAGAACACCGTGGTCGAGTGAGTGGCTGTCGCAGTCAGGGGGGTTGTACACTCCCTCGTGGTAGAACTGGAAACTCTCGTGGGAAGCGTCGATGGCGACCGAGACCGGACCAATCGTAGCCAGAGCTTTAGCCAATGCCCTTTCATTTCCGGAGGGAATGTCCACGAAACCGGTGTCCCGACCCGCGCTGTCTTCCTTGTGGTAGCGACACTTTCCTTGTTTGCCTTCATAGGGGTAAGACTCCTCGGTGTCGATGCCGTGGTTCTCCTTGATGTAAGTGAACGCGTTGTCCATGAGACCTCCACCGCATCCGTTGTTACCGTACGAGGTCGAGCAGTCGATCAAGTTCTGCTCAGAAAGTGAAACAAGCTCGCCGGTCTTCCTGAACAACTGGCCTTCGAGGGCTCCGGTGGTCGAGAACGACCAGCACGACCCGCAGTGACCCTGGTTTTTGACGGGGGTGACGGCGCCCTTCTCCCGCCAGTCGACGGATTTGGGGAGCGAGACGGATTCGGGTTCAATCCAAGTCGAGCCGAAGTAGGTTCTGTTCGAGCGGAGGAGACCGTTCATGGTGGAAACGAATTCATGATGGAGCTGAAACAAAATTACGAGTCGGTCAAACAGAGCATCCATCACGTTAATGGACATCACCGACATGGGCTAAGAATAGGTCGGGATGTATGGAGCCGAATGGAAGCTCTGTCGTAGACGACGCGACGCGGAGCTTTGGGATGGGTATCTCTCGGGGCTCGGGGGAAACTCTGTGGCAGACGGACTGTTCCGAATCGGCCGGAGGGGGCCGCGTCCTAGGAGACGCGGTTTCCCTCACATCGAGGGTGTGCGACATCGCGACCAAGATAGGATCGAGTTCCGCCGTGAGGTCGAAGCATGGAAGCGCATCGACGGATCCAATGACTTCGATCTGACCGCGTCAGCCGCGATCTGCAACACGACGACCTTGCGGGTTCCGCTCCTAAAATTCGTGTCGTGGTCTCTTCCACAAGGCGTAAACTCGAGCATAATCGGTTCCCTAGTGGACGGACGGAGCCAGGAACTCAATCGCTCGGCGACGGATTGTGTTGCGATTCGAGGATTCCGCAGGACGGGTTGGAAGATCTCACGTATGCTAGCCCCAGTGGACTCACCATGTCTCCGAATTGATTCATCTTGAGCTTGTAGGTGGTCTCTCCCTTGGCGTGCTTGATGTTATGGCGAGCGATGAGATGGGTGTTTTGGAGGAAGATCTTCTTGCGGAAAGCCTCCACGGTGGAGCCTTCATACTTCTTGTTGTGGTGAACCTTCGGGGAATCAAAAGAAAAAGGTTTGAATCTTCTATTCGCGGTATCGCTCCCCATTGGCTTCCGAAGAGATTTCGAGAGGGTCGATTCCCCTAGAGAGGGTTTTCACCTTGAAGTTCTGCCACTCGGCATCGAAGAGTTGCTCCAAGGTTAGAGCAGCGCTCGCCGCTCCAACGAGCACCGCAAGGATCAAAAACTTCATCTGTGGGAAAAAAATGAGAGAGTGTTTAGACTTGAGTGAGAATAAGCGATCGGTCTCGAAGTACGGCGCGGCACGCCGTTCCTTCGGACAAAAAACTTCCGATTTGCCTCGGACAGCTTTCTTGGGAACAAATGAAAGAAGAAGAGTGAAGGGAAAATCCGGCAGGCGCGTCGTAGCTGGAAGCGGCACTCCATGCAACGAACGAGCTACCCGTACTTCGCAAAATAGTCTTGGTTCCGGTTGGCTACCAGCAACGAGTCTCAACGAACACTCCGCACCGTCTGCTGAACGCCAGTGATTGTACGCGTCTTCGAGGAGGGAAGTCTCCGAAAAAGAGAACGTCGCACGCTCTCACGTGTCACTCAACACAATCACTTCCCCAGTACCCCGTGAACGGCGATGCGGGCATAGATAGATTCGACGTTGGTGTTTGTATCGATAGAGCTCAACTCTTAGAGATAGCGTCTTTCTTTCCGCGATGCTCTCCAAGGAAACACTGGGACAGAACGGATGATAATTATTGCGAGATGCCACGAGCACAGCGATTGAGTGTTTGTTTTCAAACGAGCTCTTCGTGGAGGAAAGCTTTTAATCCAGCACCACGGAAGGCTGAATGGCTTACTTATTCTGGCTAGAGTTCCGTTATCGAGCTATTGACTCCGAATGACGTCGCTCACAGCCGATTCACAGATGACGTCTCGCTCGAGCACCTGTCGACGCGATGAGCCAAGCGAGGGGAACATTCGGGGGCCTCCCTTGAACAGCTGAGCGCCAGCCCGAGCTGAAAGACTTTGTCATGACGATGCATCGAACCCAAGCTCATATAGGAGCATCCGAAGGCTCTCGGTCTCTGAACGGAGTTTCACGCATGCTGGACGCTATCTATCCGGTGATTTCGAATCACATACATACGCAGATGTCCACGACAACATCGCGGTTCCTCCGAGAGTGTTCATGAGAGATAGCGACTCGGTCTAGAAGACGCCTCCAGAACCCGGAAGTCACTAGCACGAGCTTACCTTGTCAAGCTAGCTAATCTGTGGGGGATGCCTCGCTCTCAGGGACTGTCGACGACTGAGCACTCTTATAGGACGTTCAATAGAGTGGAACCGCAGAAAGAGTGAAAGACTGCGAAGAATCCGTTGCCAGATAGCGATGATGATGCACTTGCTTTGGCTATCTGCTTGTGATCATGGAAACACTACACCGACTCCGTAAACGTAGCTTGCTTTTCCGTTTGTCGTCGCGTCCGCTGCCATTGTACTCTCGCGAATCATCGGCTCTCTATCGAGTCGGGAGCTCGTTGGAAAATCCGAGTGTTTGTATAACAGTTCGACGGATTCCTCTTAGATTGGACGTTCCGACGGAATGCCGACGCTTCGAGACGAGTTCCGGAGAGCTGCCGTCGCAGTCCGTGCTCGTTGAACTCTACGGGGTTTTTAAACTCGATAGTTCACTCAGAATCCGTCTTACTCGTTTGTTCTGACCGAGTTTCGGACCCATCGTCGACCGGAATTGCGGTATGAGAGAATTCCGCAATCGTGCCGAGCATGGACTCCGACTTCGAATTTTCGAAACTTTGTCGCAGAGACAGCAGAATGCCATGCTGCTTTTCGGAAATCGTTCAGCTGACGAGCGATACGGCAGGTTGGTTTTCCGAGCTGAACAGAGGGGAACGCCTCCCACGCCGAGGATGCGGAGAAGCACAGAGATCACGTAGCTTGCTTCGGGACGATTCGTCACTCACCTCGATCGATTGGACGCTTCTTGGAGGAATGCTCGTTGATCGGCGTCCACACGAGACTGACTCGATCCGTGCTGCTGGACCTTGAAGAGAATCCCATCTCTGGAGAGGAGAATGGGGTGCGAACTTGGACGAGGGTACCGCGCACTGAAAGAAAAGGCATCCGCTTATTCAGTCTCGGAGCGAAGGCGGGCCACAAGAACCATGATCAATGTCTGGAATCTCCAGCCATTGACTGATCTGTTGACGGCAGCGTCTCGGGCTCGAGACGACCATGCAGATTAGGGCAAGGTCTTTTCTTTCAACTGGAAGTTTCATCCTGCGAGACACGGCTCGCGATCACGAGACCGGCCAAAGGCTCCCGACGCGGTTTTTCCTCGCACCGCGAAACGATTTCCGCGATCGAGTGACCGGAAGCGCTAGAGGTCGTTAGCGGGCGCCGGCTTCAGAATACTCATTCAGTTTTCAAAGCGTTCCGCTCATCCAGCGACAGAACGTATCTATGCATACGGAGGTTTGTCAGTCAGCGGCTCAACAAGGAAGTGGTTTCGCCAGCACCAATGACGACAATTACACGGCGCTCTCGAGAAGATACCGGTGAAACACAGATTGAGGAGCCGACACTGCGATCTCCTAATATGAAGGAAAATGACTCACAGAAATGACGCAACTTTTGAATCGTCTCCGAAAGACCCGATCATGACATCCCCATCACGAGTCGAGTCGACCAAGGGATATTTAGGAGCAGAGTTTTCAGGATCGAGAAAATCCCGGCAAGTAGTTTGGTTGTTGCTTCTCCCTTGGAGATATCCTCAGTGGGGAGGGGGCAGACCCATCATGAAAGAGGGGGTATTTTCCTGCTAATTGGATTTGGTGGTCGCCCGTCTTTTCAGCTAGAGCTCTACTCGAGGCGCGGAACATCTCGAAGTTCCAGGAAACCTCACGGACTCCGACGTAGCTCGCGAGAGGGGTGGAGCTTTGGTCTTAGCGATAATCTTTCATCTTCCCGACGTTCTCGATGCGCTTCTTTGAATGTCAAAATAATTAGAACAATCATGACTCTTTTATTTTTTTCCATAGGTACGCGATCGTCTCTTGATCGATCGCTTATTGTCTAACGAGTCAATCTACGGAGACAGTCCTGGGAAGAAATTAGCTCGTCAGCCTGTGACTAGCGATGGCAAAACCCGTGCACAGCTGATTCGTCGAATGTGTAGTCAGAATATAAGGCTCCCTCCCCTTCCCTCTTCTAGGATGCTGAAACTCGACCGCGGAGCCGATATCTCTCTCTCATATTTAGTCTCCATTTACCATCTACTCCTTGAATCATTCAATCATCCACCAGTGAAGGTGTATCGTGGCTATTCGTCCGCCTTTTCTCCATCCCCGCAAGGGAGGTCCTCTGGATCCGCCAGTGGCTGCGATCCGGAACCTGAACACCTTCGTTCGAATGTCTCTCGCATGATGAGGAAGATAAATCATACCACTCTGAGCTGAATCTAATACTTCTCAGAATAATGCTTCCAAGAATGAAGTCTTCAGTTGTCATATCCAAGAACTCCTGGCAGATCGCCCCGGTGAATCCACAATACCTCATCTGTGAAATGCTTTTCATTTAATAAGCACCTTTATTCAAGGGGATTGATAACAGTAAGTAGAGAATGTACACTCGTCACGGATTTGTGCGCGTTTGTAGGCATTCCCGAAACGACAGAGGAGGAAAGTCTTCGGAGGCTATCCTAGAGCTGATCCTCCAAGACCAGATGTTGTTCACGAGATCAGTGGTGGCAAGGGATTTCGAGCGAACCGAGACATGGCCTCTGAGGCAGTTCTGAGAAACATCGAGAAACTTATCCCATATATTGAGCCTCGTGATATTACGGAGCGCAATAGTGCCTTGACTGGACATTAGGCTGGGGAAGGTTGGGATTCGGACGGAAGATCCACAACGCTGACGAAGCCGACGGATGGAGAAGTTCTGCATCGAGTCCATAAGTGACCGATGCTTGCCCTTGTAGGGGAGCCAGACGGGTTCACTGTACAGAAACTTAGATACAATCATCGACTGGTAGAGTCGGATGTAGATTTCAGGTGTTCGCACCACGAAGCACCCGAAGATACAATTCACACGCCGCGCCGACTGGCAGAGTTCACAAGGGTAATTCGCTGAGTGAATCCATCGATTCCCGACTGCATGTTCTGCATTACGATTTGGCTTCGAGGGGGTCCGTACAGTTTAACGTCATCCGCGAAGAGGAGACAAGAGATGTTGTCCGGGAGATATTGTTTGAGGTCGAGGGCGTAGGGGAGATACAGAAGGAGAAAATTGCCCCGCCCTGAGGAACGCCAGAACCCGCTGCTTGTGGGGAGTAGAGCTTCGGGTGTACACAATCGACTTCAAGGTGAGGACGCTATATCCGGATCGAGCAAGATCACTCCTCCTTCTTCTCCTTGCCTTTTCATCTTCTCTCAAGAGCCAGAGGTACAGAACCCAACGAAGAATAAAAAAGTATGAGTTCCAGAGAATGATCCGGCGACTGGCGCACTTTCTGATTGAGAAGATCTAGGGATCGGAGCTATCTCCACTCGTCCTCACGGCGTAGACCGGTAGCGCCGCCGATGGAATATCCAATTTTAGATTCCAGCTGAGAACCGCAGAATACATCACTGCCGTTGTGGTTCAATTCTCTTAGGAGATACGAGATCACCTCGAGAGCACCAATCGGGAGCTTCGATCAGCGAACTTTTTCCAATAGATTGCGACCTCATGCTGAACTGCGAGTGCGGCCGTACCTCTTTGCTCAAGTCCGTTCCAGCAATCATGGGCGCGGACGTCACTAACGTGGGAAGCCCTGCTTGAAGAGTCGGCGCGAGACAGCCTCCGAGACAATGAATTCGCTTTGTTCCATCAGATATCCATGTGAATCAAGATCGACCTATTCGTTTGTACGCGCCTCCCACTCCCAACTGATATGTTTGCATTGGAGACAGGAGCCATGTGACGGATTTCATGATTTCATAAAGATTTCATGATTCCATAAGGATTTCATGATGATCTCATGATTTCGTTAGGGTTTCATTATTCCACAAGTATTCACGGACTTCATGAGGTCGTGAGCATAGGGCCATTCCATGATTCGGCTGCGGCTCAATGGCTTCGCATACCGTCGCTTACGAACTCACGAGATTTTTTCGGCGCTGCTCAATTGACTTTGAGGCGGAAAGCATTCCAACGAGGAATCCGTAGTCGCACGATGAATGAGCAGCTCAAAACAAGGTCTCAAGGATGAAACTGAGGTTCCGGGGTTCCGGTATGGATTCCCACGAGGAATACCAAAAAGAATCATGAGTGAATCGCAGAGAGGTGGGTCCCACACGGAATGAAAGAGGGAGGCCTGGACGCATCCCGGGTACGTTGCTGGCATGATGGCTGGCAGATCATGGAAGGGGTATGGCTCAACAACTGGATCCGTGAATCTTTCGCCATACGCGATAGAACAGCAACTAAGGACTCGAGTTTCGTACAGAAGGCGCAGAAGTCTCCCAATTCAGAACAGATCCAGAATCTTTGAGCCCCAAGCCCTCAGAGCCTTGAAGGGGAGAAAGCCGTGTTCCTCTGAGGAAGAAGTAGTCTGTCTATCACCGAAAGCTGCTCCATGATCATAACCTTGGATTCGGGTTTCAAGCCGGCGCCGCCCACCCGAAACAGATCTCCGAAAATGCCGCACGAGGAAATGGATGGTACGATTGCTTCGAGCCCCCTCTAGACCTGGAGCCTGCGTCGCATCAGGACGGATTTCCGCTGGAAACCTGAATAGCTTCGGAGAGATGAGGCGCTATCAGTTCGCTTACCTACGAGAATAATTCCTCAATTCGATGAATTTTCAATTCCGAGGGAGGATCAGATCGCATTGGAGCATATGACCGGACCTACTTCGGAAACGCCCAGCTGTGAATTCCTCGGACGCGCCATCAATTCCACGACGATTTGGCCGTCAGAGCCGTGATGAGCCCTCATAGGATCTTCGCTCAAGTCTCGAAGTCAAAATTTTGGAGCTTGGCGAGTCTGCTGGTAATTACGTACTTTATGCCTCGTTTGTTCTTCCGAGCTTTGTTCATATCTGGAATCGATACGGAATCTGAAGGGTCGGGCCGTGGTCTGGTGAAGTGAGGGAGTCGTTTGCCTTATGATGGTAGAACTGGAGACTCTCATGAGAAGCGTCGATAGCATCCGATATCGAGGTAAATCGAGGTAAAGAGCTTCAGTCAGTGCCCTTCCCATCTTGCGAGGAATGTCCGCAGAATCCTCCGCCTGGCCCGCCGAGTTTTCCGTGTCATCGCGACTCCTGCCTCCTTCTTCGCCCCCATGGGGCAGACTGAGACTGCTCGGTGTCGATCCCGATGATCTCCGTGACCTTTCGTCCACGGGTACGGCAACGCATCCGAGGTACGAGGTCGAGCAACCGATCGAGTTCTGCTTTGGGAGCTAGTCAAGCTCACCCGTCTCTCTGAACAGACAAGCTCCGGTGCTTGAGGACTACCAGCACGACCCGCATTGACCTTGGTTCTCGACGGGAGTCACAACACTCCTCTCTCTCCGGTCGACGGATCTTGAGAGCGAGGCGGATTTGGGCTGAATCCAGGTCGACCCGAAGTCGGCTGGCGCTATCCCGAAGGAGGCGACCGTCCCTGGCGGGGCTGGAATAAAGAGACCTCTTGAACAAACCATGAAACACAAAAATAGTCGATCGCGGACACTGACTCAGCAAGTGTTGGAACGGACTCAGCTCGATGATCCGACGATCGCTCGGATGCGGGAGCTCCACTGAGGCGGAGCTCAGGGGAAGGTGTTCCCGGGACCTTCGAGTAAACATTCTGAAGACGGAGATGTTTCCATTTCGCTCAAGAAGAACGGGTCTCGTCGCACGCAAGTCGAGTAGCAGGCCGAACATGTGGCCGCGACTACGACAGCTCTTGCGACGAGTCATCATAATCGACGGTATTGTTACAATTGTATTATCATAAACAAACGTAAGAAACGAAACATCGCGGCATACATATGGGCTCCGATTGCTTATGTAATGATGGCGCGCCTCCATGCTGAGCCATTCGTCACGTAAATGCGGCGGGTGGGAGAGCACCGAATAGGAAACATGGTACACAACGTAGATAGACCTTGTGGTGCCTAGATCTAGTGTTGTCAGTCACAACTCATTCATTGAGTTGGCCAGGTTCTCAGCTGTTGCTGCGAGACAGATACAAACTCACTTCTTGAACACATCCCGCGGGAAAGTGAGTTCATTCTCGCCGGTACCTGTTCTGTGGCTGTGGTGACCCTCGATCGAAGACCGCGGGCCGGGCACCTCACGACAATCACCTCATGACTGCGGCTTCGACACAGATGCGAAAACGCTCTCTACGTGGTTGTTCCCGGGACACCGCAGACTACCACCCAAGGTGAAGGCTGGAAGCGAGGCCGTGCGTGAGCCCGCATGCTCCCGATTCCAGAGGAGCCGCGACTCATCCGCGAGCGGCGGCGCCACTCGACACCCATGGTCCACTCATACCGTCGGCTCGGTTAGTCATCTATCCATCCATCCACGTAGTCGATCGATTGGAGCAACGAGCGTAGGAAAGTGTTTCGGAAAGTGCGACCCTCAACCGGTGAAGAAACGAATTGGAGACGGGCGGTACATCGAGAGCTACTTGGCACAACATCTGGCCATCGATGTCAAGCGGACGGCTGGTTGACACGCGTTCAGGAAGGCGACCAGGCGAACAACGGAGACAGACACCTAATAGAGAGAGCGATCACCGAGCTGCCGTTGGAGCGAAAAACAAGCCATCGGACGGAGCGACCGACCGACCGGCGGTCGTACTGACCGACTGACGACTGACCGACTGCCTGCCTCCCGGGCAAAGGGACCTCGGACGGACGGGCAGACAGAAAGGCAGACCGCGTATAAAATATTTACAAGCGCGATGGCTGCTGAGGAGACCGCTGCCGGCTGACAGCGCTGGTTCGCTCCGTCTGTCCGTCAGTCAGTCAGTCCGTTCCGTTCAGTCGTCTCTCTTCGCCGTAGTTAGGACCGACGTCGCTAGTGCCGCCCGCCAGCCGTCGCGTTGTAGTTGCCTACTCATTCGGTCGCGGATTCGATATAGGCAAAGGTGCAAGGTGCAACGCCATGACCGAGCTTCCGGCGATAATGTGTTCTAGTGCTTCTGGTGGATAGGACAGTGAGAGTGAAGCTGTCTTCATCAGTTGATAATCTCCGTACGTACGAACGTGTGTATGTACGTCGATGATGAGCTCGAGCGTGCCTTGTTCGGATACGTCGGAGTGTTCGCGCGGATGAATAATTGCTGGTCAGCTCCGTGGTCGTCTTTCAACGCAACAAATATAAGCCTCCGTCAATAGTGAGAACCAATGAGCCAAAATGCCAAGTTCCGGTCAAATGTCAGGGTACTTCAGCAAAAAAGCCCGGAGTCGCCGCTCAGAGGGCGACACCGCCGAGTCCAGAAGCGAACTCACATTGCCGATCGAAGAAAGAACCCCGTCGAGACTGAGTCCGATGGCGGCACTCAAGTTCGAAAAGCTACGAATCTCCCCGGACGTGTTCCACTTCGGCTACAACAGGAAGAAGTCCGACAAAGACGATACATCGTCGCGCGGAAGCGATCGGGACTGTCTCTCCGACAGCGAGACCGTTCGATCGGATGTTTTCGACCGACTCATGAACGGCAGCGTCGGTCAAGTTCGACGGAAAAAACGCAAGCACGAAACGTGAGTACTCAAGATGGTATTGGCAACATAGTCGTAAAGATTTATCAGAGTGAGAATATTCGTAATGTGGCGGAGCGCACGTGTGGTATGCCTCACTCCAGAGTTGGCGGTACCGCAGCCGTTGTCGGAGATCGTAGAAGTAGAGCTCCCAGGGAACGCAATAATGAGCTGAGTCGACATTCGATAAATCCGCGATTCGTTCCCCCTTCGTTAGCAGCAAATGTTGCCCAATTTTTCTGCTCGTTTCCCCGCTTCGTCATCGGAACGGGAAGCCGCAATAGAGACGAAACGACCTCCGAGGCTGAGCGTTTGCGTTCCCGTGGACTGGCGCCCTGAGACCGCGGAAAAGAGCGCGCTAGAGAAAAACAGCCCATGGAAACTCTTGAAACCATCTTCCAGATATGATCTATGTCACAAGTGGTTACAGGGCTGAGTTCACGCTCTCCCGTCGATGGACATGGAGTACGGAATGGCTCGCGGAGGAATCTCGGAGGGCATTCGCATACGCAGTCGGTGCGCCCGATTTCCGCACGTTCCGTCGACGACCTCGAGACCGCGATATTCTCGAAACTCTAGCGCGAAAACACCAAGCGGGCCGCCCGCGGGAAAAAATCATAAGTCACTGTCGATTTCACGCGGAACGGATTCTGCTCTTGTATGAGAGAACGTTTCAATAAAAAAGACCAGTCACGTCACAATGCAAACGTCCCTGGCGCTGACGCTCCACCCGCCAGGCACACCCGGCGCTCAGCGTGTTCGCAGCAAACACATCAAGCGAACAATGAGCGATATCGTGTCCAATATGGGATCGAATTCCGCCGTAAGGTCGAAGTATGAAAGCGCTGTCACAGATCAAATCTGACGAGGGTCTAATCTGCTCGCTTCAGGGAAAATCACCCTTCCGTCCGACCGCGAGCTGATTCATGGCGAATCCGCTCGTTTCGCTTATCGTTGCGCTCGTGGCAGTCTCTCCTGAAAGATGCCCACTCAGCAAACTCACGAACGTCAATCGCACAGGAATACGGGTGTACCTAGTTTGAGGCGCTGAGTGTCCCTCGTGCGGGAGTCCGAGGACCGGTAGGCATAGCGAGCAATAATCTCTGAATTAAACGCTCAAACGTTCCGCTTGCCTCGACGCGCTCAAGTGAGCTCCATTGGAACAAACGACTCTATGTTGACAGGATGCGGCCAACGGAAGTCGATTCGGAGTGTTTTAAGTTCCGACAAAACGAATCGATTGTAAATCGTACCGAGGGATGAAATAAACGAGTCGATCCTCGTCTTTTGAGAACTCGATTTAGAGCACGGCGGACGAAGCCAAAAAGCAGATTATCCGGGGATGGGTAAATGGAATGCAATCGGAGGGTTCCACGACGGAGGCTAACTTACCATGTCTCCGAATTGATCCGCCTTGAATTCGAAGGAGATCTATACGATGACGTACTTGATGTTATGGCGAGCATTGAGATGCAAAATGTGAAGGAGGACCTTCGATTGGGAAGCCCCGACGTAGGAGCCTCAACGCTCCGTTTCGCGTCGAACCTTGCAAGAATCACAAGAAAAAATATCGAATCTCCTCTCCGTGCGCATTGGATTGCATTGGACTCCGAGTCGAGCTCCTGAGTGTCTCACTGCACAGAATAGGTCCCCACCTCGGTGTTCTGCCGCTTGGAATCGAATAGTCCCGACAAGGTCGATTCGAATCTCTGCCAGGTGAGGCAGGGGCAACATTGTCATTGACTGTAGAAAAACCCAGCGATCGATCAGTAATGTTGCTTATCGGGAGCGTATATGGTTGAGGGACGCGAGAAGACTGGGTTCCGCGGAACCCTTGGGGCTCCGTGGGCGAGTTACCGAAACGAGCACTCAGCCCTCAAGCGAAGAAGATTGGGTGGCTTGGTACTCCTCGTCTGGGTTACACTTCCGCGCTTGGTGGCTCAGAATGACGTCCTTCCCAGGCAAAGCCTAGTAGAATAACGCCCGAACACCTGTAGACGCGATGAGCCGGGCACAAGGAACATTCGAGGGCCTCCCTCGAAAGCTCCACTCCGAGCGAAGGGTCTTCGTAATGATGCGCGAGATTGAGCTGACGAACGAGAATCCTAAGATATTCGGTCTCTGAACGAAAGTCCGAGACAAGTCATTTCATCAGCGTTGAGGTTAATGGGTGATTCCGATTAGGAGGCGGATAGGCTCAAAATTCCGACCGTCACCGTCGAGCTCACCACCCAAAGCTCGTGGATCTGCGTAGAATAGCTCGCTTCTCAGCGACACTCGATAGGCAGCGCTCTTACGGCACGTTCGATAGGGTTGGACCGCAGAAAGAGTGAGAGCGAATCGACGCTAGACAGCGATGCTGATGCACATGCCATGCACTCATACTCCCTCGGAATCTCGACTGGATCGCGCCGATAGTTCTCGAGAAGATTGAAATTCTTATACGAGCTTAAAATGCTCATATAAGAATGCCGGACCGTCCGCCAGACCTCCCGACAGGTCGGGAGGCTCCCGCATGGATTTCCGCGTAGACTGTAATCCTCAAGCCTAACGGAGTTTCCCTCAGAAGCACTGTCCCGAAGATTCCTGTTCGTATCCCACGAGGTTAGGGTTGGATCAGAGGTCCCACGCGAATTCGGCGACTTCTAGGGCTCATCTTCGAGTGGCAGCCGTACGAAGAACATTTCTCGACTATGAACAGCTCAAAGTTCGGATTCTCGGGATCTTCCCTCTTCGCGATGAGCATTCAGCTGACGAACGATCCAGCAGCACAACTCGGACCAATAGAGCTGAGCAGAGCAGAACGCCTTCTCTTGTCGAGGATGCGGAAAAGCACGGAGACCACGTAATCCAGCTCGAATGAACTCCTCACTCACCGCGATCGATCGGACGCTTCTTGAAGCAAGGCTCGTCGATCGGCATCCACGCGAGACTGACTCGATGCCTAGCGGCTCGATCTCAAAGAGAAACCCATATGTGGCGAGGAGAATGGGGTCCGACATTGTCGAGGGTCGAGCGTACCACGCACTGATGGAGAAGGCATCCGCCAGTTCAGTCTCGGAGTAACGTCGCAGCGGGCCGGAAGAACCAAGATCAATGCCAGAAATCTCCAGGCATTGATCGATCTGCTGACGGCAGCGTCCCGAGCCGAAAACGACCTCGCAGAGTGAGGCAAGGGGTTTTCTTTCTCAAAAAGTGACTGAAAGTCTTTTTCTGCGGGACACGGCCCAAGATCAAGAGAAGGTCCAGGAGCTCCGTGTGCGAAACGGTATATTTTTTTCGGGTCCAAGCAGGCGGATGCGCCCAAGGTTCTGAGCCAGCATCGGCTTCAGAACACTCCGGCTCTTCAGCGTCACGCTCATTCACGTATTTAATGTGATGGGTATGCATGTAGGCGCTCGTCAGTCAGTCAGCGGCTCCCCGAGAAGGTAGCTTCGCCAACATCAACGACAACAATAATCACTACAGCAAGACGCACTGGATTAGATCTTTGTGGAAGAGGAGAGGGAGGAACCGAGCCGCGAGATCTTCGAACAAGAAGGAATGACTCATTGAAATGATCTGACCTTGTGACTGGTCACCGAAATACCCGATCACCTCATATCAACCGATTTACTCCCGAATGGGATCGATCGAGCGGCGCTTAGTAGCGGACTTTTTCACGGTTGCGAAAACAAAAGGATTTCGCCGCATGAACTTCCAGGATCGATGAGACAATGGCCCGCGGGATGGCACCGATGCGGCATGCGGATGCTTGGAGCTCCTCTATCTGCATTGTGTCAAATCCAAGAGACCATGATTCTTCCTCTGGGTCAGTGTGCCGAATATTCCGAATCAGATTCAACTCGGCTAGACGTCGCGGATCCGAGACAAGTTGAGACTGATCGTATGTATAGGATGTTGCGGCCGGGAGTTTTTCTTTTAATCGGATCTGAAGTACTCCTAAACGTATGCCTACCTCTGGCGACGGATCCGGAGAGAATGAATCGTTCATCGGACGGGAAATGTGGCATCAATGTATGTTCGATCTTTGAGAAGAGCGTTTTTGCAATAATGGCTCGTTCACGAACAGTTTGGAGAGACGGTGAGTGCATGAAGCGATTCAACTTTCTCCTCGCCTACGCCGCAACTTCGAGCGGATTAGCACCGCTTGGCCGATAAGATCGTAATGCACTTTCAAATCAATCAGACTTGGAACGCATGATGGTGACGTTGCTCTCGTAGTATCTACTTGTGAAACGCCTAACTGAGTGAGCTTCTGTGCGTCCTAATCGGCGGAACGGACCATGAATTTCACGTGAGTTCCATCAGTTTCGATACTCTATCTAGAAAATGCCCTCGCGTGCGACCGGTAGACGAACTAGATCGGACCTTCAATGAACATCTCGAATCATCAGCTGCTATGGAAATCCTCTGAATCGGAGCTATGCGCGGAAAAATGGATCACGCACAGTGTTCCCTATGCCAGATGCGACTGATTGACCGCGAAGTCCCGATCCAGCCAAAATTTTATTCGGAAGAAACCAGTAGCAAACAAATGGATCACGCCAACTCATGATTGGTCTCCGGAAAAGAAAATGCTTCTTGCCGAGGAGCAAGCAACCCATTACGTATTGGAGTCTGTAGAGCCCAGTCTGACTCTGGATTACCCGATTCTTCCTGATGACTCCCGTTCAGGGATCTGAATACGGAAATGAGTTCAGATGCACAGCGTTTCGGCTGCCAGCAGCTAGATGTGTTCCGTCCCTCTCTTTGAAAGCTGTTCAGACAGAGAGCTGGTTTCCCTACTCGTTCGCTTCTCTCCGGAAGAACGGGACACTCCGCGAATCGTATCCTTCCGGCCCGCCTCGGACATCGGAAATCGAATCGGAGGATGGGAAGTTAAAATCCAGAGACGTGAAGTGGTAGAGCTTGACTTTGTAATGAGCTGCTCTATGCGGATCGCCATGCCCTGCCGCCACGACTAGTTTAAAGATTCATACCGCGAAGAGCTCCATTCCGAT